ATATAGTTTCATCAAAAGAGGATTTTGTAATTACGGTCCTAGTTGCTAAGCTCGGACTATCATTATTGTTGCAAATTTCTTTTTTTATTGGTACACGGTTTAGTTTATTATTTTAAGGGTATAACGATAACGGCATTTTGAACTTAGTATCGACGATTCAGTCATCGGTGAAGTCTTGTTGCAATTCCTTCTAATTTTGGGTCCTCAATGCACATAAACTTCGTTCTTTATTTGGACGTTTTAACTTTTTTGATTCGAGCGTTACTGATGAGACTTTTGTAGATGAAACGCGCATCTGGCGAACACAATTTTAAGCCGGTATCTATGATGAGTGTATTCTATTCATATATAATCGAATTAAACTACAATTGATTTTTTTTGCTTGACACAATTATAGCAAAAATTGCCCCAAAAAAGTCTGGTTTGGATAATAAAACACTGAGTGACTCTATAAATAACCTTTAACCTATCTAAATAAGCTAAGATTTATAAGTATAAATATGAGAATAGAATATACACCCACAGAATCATCTGAAAGTTAATTCCTTAAGATGAAACATCGATCACTCTATGTTCATGCTATGGAAGATTTCTGTCGCTGTCTTATTGTTCCGTACCCGTATCTCACTTCTTTTTCTTAATATTTTCTAGTGATCGGAGGAATTAAAGCAAGTCAGTGATAAAGCTCAGAAAGGCTAATAACAATACAAAAATAAAATAAACGTTTCCTGAAGTAATAAAACAAACCAACTTGATATGTCAGGCTTTTAACAATGTCAACCATATACCTTAACAGATGCAACGATCTTTAAAGCTGAATGTTACAGAGATGTATTTTATGTGCATTAGATATTAGTAGGAGTGTGGTGCTGTTATGATAGTCATACAATGTGGACACTTGTCTATGGTCTCTACATTTATCTTGGTTATTTTGTCACTCGGTTGCTGTCTCATTGACGTGTACCCAGCAACTCATTTTATTCATATAACCGTATGATAAAATCTTAACACCTGACATTTTTATTAAATTTTTGTTTCATATGAGTATTGAATAGTTTTAGTCAACATTAGTCTACCGATATTCAAATCTAACACATCGATTTCGAAGATACCAATGAAGGTAACAAAAACCAAAAGTGAGGGGATCGTATCAACTTCAAAAGGTGCGAGACAGGAAGCTTCGACAGTTTAAGCGCCTCCCATGCATGGATCATCCTCTATATCTTAGTAACAATGTCACAATCGGGAAAAGGAAACAATCGATACATTTGCAAATCAGACGAATATTCTGGTGTCTAAAGATTTAAGACAGCGAAACCATGTCGATAGTGAGTCTAGACATATCGTGTCAGTCAACGAAGTCGTGATTTTGACCGTAAAAGTAATGTAGTGTAAATTTAAGTCGTTCTTCCTCATATCTAAATTTTAATGTAATGAACACACCCTGATAATAAAGTACGTATAGTGTAAACATGAACACGAGCGTAACGTATTAATTGATGAGAAGAGAGGGTATGTTACTACTGAAAAATAGGAAGTTGACATTTGGAAAGTTGAATTCATCACATTTTTCAAAGTACTGTTGTAGAAGATAAAAATAAAGAATCATTAGATAATACAAAATTTAGAATAATGTAGACGAAATAAGTTTAGACTTTACCAAATTGACAATTCATATATACCTGACTACATTCACAATACTATAATATGTTTACCTCACAAGTGACAATATGCTGTCTTTCAATGTAGGTCTAGTGAAAATTTCAACATCTTTCTTCAAATACATGTAGATAATAAATATAATCATAATAAAGAATGCAACTACACCCCACAATTGGAACTGTTCCCGTCTGAAATATAAAAAAAATATATGTTTTGATTATACAGCACATAAAAAGTAACAAAAAATGTACAAACTTTCCAGTAATCAAAAATATAAATGACTTATCAATATCTATCACGTCACGGCAAACTAGTTCGCATCGAACCAACTTAGCTGTCAACGAAAGGAAAATTAATAACAGAAATAAAATATCGACCTGTTTACATTAACATTTTATTTGAGAAATTCTATGACAAATTCTAATATCAAGGTCTTGAATCAATAAACGTTGGGTTTGATAACAGGATGTAAAGTGTATACATTCAATACGTATATTTATAAACTCTGGATAGTTTACGGGGTATGTGTTGTCTAAACATTTGAAGGTATCGCTTAAAAATGTATCAAGAAGTATAAGCTAGATCATTATGACAGTTAATCATAAATTGCGATTTGCAACTACAGTATTCAGGCAAATCAAAAATAAGAGTGGCACAGCGAGTACCCATCGGAATACCAATCTCTTACCGATATAATGATTAAAAACGCTTTTATGATTTCTTTGCAAGTCTAGTTAGTGTATTTTTGTAAGTTTTAATACAGTAAAATGCATAGTAACGACTTAATCAAACTTTTAAAACTTTTGGTCCTCAATGCTTTTCAACTTTGTACTTGTTTTGGCTTTCGAACTTTTTTGATCTGAGCGTCACTGATGGGTCTTATGTAGACGTAATGCGCGTCTGGCGTAACAAATTAAAAGCCTGGTACCTTAGGATTACAAACTAGAAAAATGCTTGTTTTTTGCCCCTTTTTGGCCCCTAATTCCTAAAATTTGGAGGCAATTACCCCCAAAATCAATCCCAGCATTCCCTTTGTGATATGGAACCTTGTGGTACAATGTCAGAGAGATCCATACACTAACACACAAGTTATGTCTGGAAGTTACAAAAATGCTTATTTTTGGTCCCTTTTTGGCCTCTAATTCCTTAACTGTTGGTACCATAACCCCCAAAATCAATCCAAACCTTCCTTTTGTAGTATTGAACCTTATGGTAAAATTTCATAGAGATCCATTCACTTAAACTAAAGTAAGAGTGCGAAAACCAATGTGTCTTCGGACGACGACGATGACGACGATTACAACGTCATACCAATAACGACCACAAAATTTTTTTGCGGTCGTATAAAAATGCTTATTTTTGGCCCCTTTTTTGGCCCCTTATTCCTAAAGGTTTTGGGAAATTACCTCCAAACTCAATTCAAGCCTTTCCTTTGTGATATGGAACCTTGTAGTATAATTTCAGAAAGATCTATACACTTACACACAAGTTATTGTCATGAAACTAGAAAAATGCTTTTTTTTTCCCCTTTTTTGGCCCCTAATTCCTAAAATTTTGAGGCAATTACCCCCAAAATCAATCCCAGCATTCCCTTTGTGATATGGAACCCTGTGGTACAATGTCAGAATGATCCATAGACTAACACACAAATTATGTCTGGAAGTTACAAAAATGCTTATTTTTGGCCCCTAATTCCTTAACGGTTGGTACAATAACCCCCAAAATCAATCCCAACCTTTCCTTTATAAAGATCCATTCACTTAAACTAAAGTTAGAGTGTGAAAACCAATGTGTCTTCGGACGACAACGACGACGACGCCGACAACGACGACGACGCCGGACGACGACAACGACGACGACGACAACGACGACGCCAACGTCATACCAATATACGACCACAAAAAAGTTTTGCGGTCGTATAAAAATCTAATTCTCAACATAACATTTCCAACTTGACTATTAGTAGTAGACATGCAAAACATTTGTACTCAATTCGATTTCAAAAATAACTTGTAATAAATGTAAAACTGATAATACATTCTTAAAAATTTGAAATTCATAGTGCAGATAGTTCATAACTTGAAGGCCATTGATTTTATTTTTAATGTAGTATACAAACTGGTACTAACTTTTTTACTGTTTTCCATATCCATCAATGGTAAAGCCTTCTTTAAATATTCATATAATCCATGCATGGGTAGGAAATCTACATCAGACAGGAACACATATGGCGTATTGACTTGTTTTAAAGCTACATTACGTAAATAGTTGACTGGATAATATTGCTGAAATATACATAAAATATCAAAATAACATAAGAACTATTAAACACACATTGGAAAGAGTTGAGAACTCTAGAAACCAATTTAAATTCCATTATCTCCCCTTTTACATGTAAGACAAGGATTTATTCCTCCAAAGGTAGCATTCTACATCTGTGTAAAGTTTCATCAATATCCATCAAGCCTGGAGGAGTTGCACTTACCAGATAGACAGATGGACAGACAGGAGGACAGTGTGATTCCTTTATACCCTCCAAGATATTGTTTTGGGGGGTGGGGGTGGTTTAATAAAATTTTAAAATTCAATACTGAAAACTTACATTATTGTAAGAAATATAATTTTTTTCTAATTTTTTACCATTTAGTCCCATGAGTCTGAAACAACACAATTTAAAAATAGTCCAAATCAAAAGTGAGCTTCATTTTCCACTTCAAACATCGTGTACAGAGTTATTGAAATCTACAAAGCAAAAAAAGTACCCCGGTATAAAGCAAATTCGAGTTGTTGTTGGACATGTAAAGTGTTGATTGATAACAGACAGGCCAACTGATTACTGTTGGTCAAAGATAACAAATTGAGGGGGCATCATATTATCTTACCCCATCTCTATAAACTACATGATATTTTTTATGAATGTACACCTGTAAATGATCTTTACAAAAGTAAGTTTTTTAAGAAATATTTAAAAGAACCTTTTATAGGATATGAAAATTTACTTGTTTAAGTAATTACCCTGACTGCTGAACATGCTTAAGATACTAAAACAAAACAATAAAGATGGACTAAATACAAATATGCTGGTGAAAGAACATGAATACAAACACCCTGTAAATGAAATATACATTAGTGCACAATTAAATTTCTTTCACAAATTGAAACATCAGTTTGTTGTATTTTTTTCTCTTCAGTTTTTCGAAAGACTCAAAGCATGCAATTTCTAGTTCAGAAAAGAATATAGCTTCATATATCAATTTTTTTCATTTTTTAGAACAGCATGCAATGTAGCAAGAGAGACTATGGGTTACAACAATGCTGATAAGAATGAAAAACAGACTTTGGTTGTGTTGGTGATAATAGGAGCATTTCCAACATGTATTTTGGTTTACTTAGCTTTAACAACTGATGGTAATTATCAACATTTGTAGAGCATGTAGAGTGAATTAGAAAGGGAACTAAAATGATAGATTTAGGAAATAAGAAATTTACTCCCTTGTTATCTGACATCAAAACTTTCCCCCAGAATGATCACTACCGGTATTCATAAATTTCCTGTTTCTTCATCTCTCATGTTTTTGTCTGCTTGCCTGATTATTTTCAACATAATATAAAAAAAAACTAGGAATTGCACTGGCAGTAAAATGGATAATATAAATTCTGGTCATGAATATTTTTTTCTTTTAAATATCATGAATATGTATCATACTTTATTTATGATTTTGACATTTGTTAGTTGGATACAAAAAATACCGGTACCTTATCCTGACCTCGTTAACCATTAGTTATATATAATAATTTGGTTAGTACTTAAAAGTTAACTTATTTTGGCAACAGCAAAAAAAAAAAATAAAAAAATATGTCTTACAGCATTCATTACAGCTCACAAGGATTTTTTTCTTTTGGATTATATTTGTACAAGAAACTTTGACGAACATAAATGCAGATATAAACTTAGGTATTTTTTTAGTTATGTAAAATTTACCTGATTTTCACAAAGTTTTGTTTTATAAATATAGAATTTTGTCAGGAGTATTATGAAGTTTTTATGCCTCCGCCACTAGGCAAAGGGGAGATTTAAGTGTTACCCTTGTCCGTCCCGTCCGTCCCTTGCGTACGTCCCCAAAATTGGTTTCTGTTTAGTGTGCCTCAACCAAATGTTATAAAACTTATACACAATGCTTATTGCCACAAAACACAGATCAAGTTTCAAAATTGGGTGGCGTCACTTTTACCATTCATGAGTTATGCCCCTTTATAAACATAGACATTGCAATTTTTCATTGTTTCCGTTTTCTAACTTTAGTTTGCCTCAACCAAATGTTATGAAACTTATACACAATTCTTATTACCACAAAAGTCAGATCAAGTTCAAATTTGGATGGTGTCACTTTTAATATTCTTGAGTTATATCCCTTTATAACATTATATGCAAGCAGAGGCATCATCTGTGTCCCATGGACACATTCTTCATTTATTTATCTTATAATTTCCTGTGTTTCCTAAATTTCCAAATAAATTAATATCCATATTAAATGGAATTATTATTTGTGTTTGGTAATAAATCCAATCACTAAGTTAAATCCTTAAATCTGATATTTTATTGCATGTCCAAAATATGTGCTCAATATCTTCAATAGCTTCACTGCAGAACGTACATTTATCTGTTTGTTTGTTTAATTTTGAATAAAATTCATTTGTGCCTATGATTCTGTGTATTATTCTATACTAGAATCAATGAAGTTTTGAGCTTTTTGTGGTGTAAAATTAAAAGACATAATGACTTTGTGCACTTTTTTCCAATCTTAATTTTTATTTAATCTTAGAGATCATTTATCTTCACAGTTAAGCCTTGTACTGTTTTTTTTCTAATAAAACATAGAATAAAGATCAGGAAAAAAATGATTGTGTATCATCGTGTCTGTAACAGCATATTGACATATTTGTCAATAACACTGTTAAATTCAAATATGAATATAAAGGAGAAGGTCCGCTAAGGGCTAATTTTGGCCTAAAATTCAAAATACATGGGATAAAAGATTTTTGACATTTTTTAAACATTTAAGTGTCTACCACAGTCGATTCAATTAGTTTATGTATAAGATTTAAATTGATTTGGTCAATAAAGACGCTCAAATGCAAGCTTAAATGTGAAAAATCTATCAAATATGCCATAAAACGTAACTTTCCAGATGGTTTTTGTCAAAAATGAAAGTGGCTGCATTCGTGTTCAGTCTCAATCTTTATATATGTTATGAAATATCATCAAGTACAACATATATTTTGATATAAAGGCTGAACACAAATGCGGCCATTTCCATTTTAGGCAAAAACCGTTTAGAAATTAGCACAAATGTTAAAATTGTGAAAATTTCAGTAATTTTGCATAAATTAATGATGCTAGTACCTGATGCATGTGCATTGTATTGTCAAAGTCAACATTTATGTAGCAAAAGTATTCTACTTTCCAATAAATAGCGTAAAGTTTACAATTGAACAAATTTGTAAAAATGCTTTATGGTCCGAGTACACAGTTATTTCGTAGTGCATTTCTTTTAGACAATAAATGAAAATAAAAAAAATCACACCTGCGCTTTCTCAATAACATTTTACAGTGTGTTGTACTACTTTTGGGACAAATTATATCAAAATTATAGAAAACTTCATCGGCTCTAACTCAAAATATGGACAATTTCATTGTAAGGGAGTCTTGAAATCTTTTGACAGCTTCCAAAGTGCTAATTTGTAACCTTTTTCAGCTGGACCAAATCACTACTTTACTTTAAAATTCATGACCCAGTGTAATTTCATCCCCCTACTTGCTATTTGAGGCATAAAACATGAAGAAATACATTTGGAAGAGGTATAAAAAAAATGGCAAGTAACACACTGTCCACACTAGGGACTATATTTGTGGACAACGAAAATCAAGGGACGATAACTGTGTTCACGGACCTTATTCTGGAGCCAAACAGGGGTCTTACCGGGCCTATTCCTTTCTTAATCATAAAACAATTTTTCAGAAGATATTTATAAAGTGAACTTTAAACTGTAAAATATGCATGGAAATTCTTAAAGCTACATTCAAAATGGCATTTTTATTTTTATTTCATAGAAATCCCTAAATATGATGGCCAAGCCGGGCAAATTTTGGAGTCCAGACTTGCACAGAGATTGAAAGAAGCTGATCAGGAAAATAAAGTCCTTAGGAAGCAACTAAGGTACAAATGAAATCTAGAACCTTACATTCAAAATCTTGTGTATGGTTAATCCTATATTCTTGTACAATAGGTCTATTTGAACAAATAACATGAATAAGTTGAAAAAAGAATTTTGAGAAATTAAGAAATGGTCTTGTAGTATATTTAGGTATTGATATCCAGAACAATAGAAGGCTTATTCTGTCACTCTAAAGATAAATATTCCTTGAATATAAAGTATCACTCTCATTACTGACCCTATTATTCATCTATAAATAACTAGAGCTTCTTGATTTGTACAGAAGTTATCTCCCATCAAAATTATGTCTCAGACATAAATGGCAACTGTCATGTTAGAAGCCCATGGAGTGACAAGGAAACAAGGCTTAGAAATTCATCTAGTGCCGAGGGTATCTCTAATAATTGGTCCTTTAAATGAGGGCCATCAATATTTTGTAGGAAGAGTTTTCCTTTGTTGTATATTGTACATACAAGAAATTCTTAGACACAAAATAATTTTCTAACATAACTGTTTTGATTGATTGATTGTTGGTTGCTCAACATCGTGTGTAACTGTTTTGACAATCTGTTACTACAGTAAGGTAAGTGCTTTTTCAATGGTTCAAAAGACTCCTCCTCTGTTAGTTGGGTATAATAAAACATTTGTGGCACCTTTAAAGAGATGAATATTCAAAATTGTCAACCCTGAAAAGTTATTTTCGAAATTAAAGGCAATACAATCTGACTGAAATATCATTATGCTGGACCAGAAATACCATTTTGTGAGTCAGTCAAGGTAAAAACTCTGCTAAGATATCTTATTTCTTTACCAGTTATATTAACGTGTGTAGTTGGCAGGCAATAATATAGGTTATAAAATATGGAAAAATGCTTTGACTTCCATTGTTTACTTTCCTATCACAAAATATAATAAAGTTTTGATATTATCTGGTGGGTTTCATTCTTGAAGCTGTTGTTTTTCATCTGCATTGTTGTTAAATTTTACAGACAAACATAAATTGACACCTTCCTTCTAACAGTATATATGTCATGTATGTGTGTTTTGTTTAGAAAATATGTATATACATGTAATACATTTTTAATCAAAAATTTAATAATTGAAAATTCTTGTTTTTCTTTAGATTCAAATTCATTTATAAACTATAAATCTATACCTCTTATTACATATATTTGGGAGTCCTACATTGTCATGATTGTATTATTTGTCACTATAGTATTCTTTTTAAGTATCGTCAATAATTGTATCTCTTTGTTTCAACAGTAAAACAAGAAATAAACTATTAGGCCTACAGATGAGTATTGCAGTACAGAATGGCACAACATATGGTGGCAATAAAACCCTACTAAGATGTCTGAATGCTGAACTGGAAATACCCAAGTGTGAGGTAGGCAGGCAATGAAAGTCTATTAAAATAGTTAAGCTCTGATCTAGAAATACCAAAATGTGACAATGGATACACAATAATTTTCTACTGAAATATATAAATACAATAAAACTTGCTGAATTACTGAACTTTGAACAAAAGATTTCCAAATGTGAGCCAGGCATGCAATGATACACTTCTTAAATGTCTTCATGGGTAAAAAATACTAAAAATTTGGGTTGATAACCAATAAAGATTCAGCTGAAGTTTCTAATTTCTGAAACAGAAATAAAAAAAGAAGGCAGTAAAATCTTACTGAAATATCTTTAAACTGAACCCAAAATACTGCTGCTAGAGACAGGCAAGGAAAAAACTCTGCTAAAATATCTTATTGCTGAACCAGTAATATTAGTGTTCGATGTTGGCAGGCCATTAAACCCTTTTGAAATGTTTTGCTAGACTAGAAATACAAAATATGTGAGATAGATAGGCTATTCAATTTTTCTTGTATTTCTTAGTGCTGACTCAGAAATCAAAGTTTTCAACCAGATATAACAAATGTGAGATACATGTATATGTTACCCAGCAATAAAAAACGCTGAAATGTCTGCATGCTAAAATAAAACCAATATATACAAAGTAGCACCACAATAAAACCATATTTGATTTCTTTGTAGCTTTTATGTTATGCATTATAAATCAGCAATAATTTTGGTGGATGTATTATATTGTCACATTTGTGAGAATACAATAAAGGGACCATTAATCATATTAATTATGAGATAGCAGTGCCACAAGTTTATAGCCTTTTTACATTGCTGAAGACTATGGTGACCTCCAAATGTCTTGTTTCTGTAAATTTTTGGTTTTGAGTATCTGTTTTATTGATATTTACAACATTTACTCTTTGAATGCAAAAATGCAAACAGAAGAGTTTTAGCACAAATTTCTTTATTTATTTTCTCCTTTTTAATAAGAATATAGATTATATAGCAAAATCAGCAATGAAACTTAAAAATTTCTGTTACAGGTAATACACATAGCGATTGTATGTGCTGGACACAGTGCCACAAGGAGTGTTGTCACATTGATTAAAAGTGTATTGTTCTACAGAAAGAATCCTCTCCACTTCCACTTTATATCAGATGATATAGCTCAACTCATTTTAAGTCGTCTGTTTGACACATGGAATGTTCCTGAAGGTATTTACATTTATTTTGACTATGTAGTAATTTGCAACCGAACCTGTCCTCATTAGGGTTAAAATTGGTCAAAATGTAATTCCTTAATCTGTGATCTGTATGTACTTCAGTGCTTCTTGTAACTGGTGATTAGTTTTGAGACACAGACAAATGGACACTTGTCCCTCTTTTACATTATATGTGTGACTGCTAACTGATAGATGAGTGCTAGAATTTAAAGTGACAGGGGACCAGTCAGGAGAATGACATCATTATGTGTGTACAAAAGGCATAATCATTTTTATAATTGTACAGAGGACAAATTATTTGATATTAATCTAGCTGTTTGCTTAAAAGTCTTGTAGCAAATATTCATGCATATTCTGGATAAAAACAAATCAAACTATTATTCTATTTACACCCATTAATTTAATAGAGACATTGTCTGAAACACATGCACTTTTATACAATTTTTCATGCACCTTTATACAATTTTTTTGCCGATTTGAATTAAAATTAAATAATCGAAATTCATTTCTGCTATGCCAACTCCAACAAGATAGAGGCCTTTGTCTGGACCAAGTGGCAATGTAAAAAGAAGAAATAGATAACTGCAAATTGAAATGTCAAGCAGATTTGAAGGAAAGATTTTGAATTTTTACGACTAAGTTCACTTGGCAATGAATCTTTTTGCACATCATGTTCAATCAACTTTTCGATTTCTTCTGGTGGTCTGTACGATGTTTGAAAGCATGCTTAGTGTGAGACTCACAACAAAATCAAAATATGGAATCTTATGAGTTATGAGACTCTGAGGTATTGAAAAAGGCTAAATAAAACCCTTCCTTGTATAGATTATAACCATGAATTGAAGAAGTAAAGTATATTTATTAAGTCTTTTTGGTGTTTTGTAGATGAATTCTTAAAATGTCATATATTTAACTTGAAAATGTCGTTCGCGCAAAATCTCCCCCTCAGCCTCAGCTGTCATAGCTGTGGGGGAGATCTCCCTCTTTGAAGGTTTCAGAGGTTGGCAGGTATGCATTAGTGGGAAAATTTGTATTCGTTGGTTTTAATACACAACTTGTCATAATGCTATCTTTTCAGTACTAGCATGTATCTCAGAAAATTAATTTGTGTTCAATTTATTTCAGTTTTTTATAAATTCAATTTCATTTTTACTTTTCATTACATTGAACATACAATTTTTTCTGTATTTCAGTAAATGTCAGTTTTTACTCAACAGACAAAGTTCAGGTAATTTAAAATTGATATTATTAGAAATGATGTAAATTCAGAAAATTTATATAATGCAATGCGGTTTTTTAGAAAAAGTAAAAAAATTGATAATGTGAATTTGTGTAAACTTTTTTTAAGTTTTATAATTGAATAATTTTTTTTTATCTTATCATAATAATTTGAATTTGTGTAAACATCTGAGTTTATAATTGACATAGTGTTGTGAAATTTTACTTGAGTTTTTAAACATAGCTATGAACATGTTGTATTGTAGGAAGATGTAGTATGGATATCTAATAAACATTACTCTGGGGTGTTTGGTCTGATGAAGTTAACATTACCAAAAACTTTACCAAGAAATCTATCCAAGGTTTGTATTACGAAATTGACTATAAAACTATATTATCATTGGCATTTCACAACATTTTTCTATGTATTAGCAATAACTTTACCACATAGATTATTTAATATTATTATCTCTTAAAAACACCAAAAAGAGGTAAATAGACATGTTGGGATGAACTGTCACTCAGATTCAAATGATAATGAAAGAAATTCAAAACCGAATAGTCAAATACTGTAGTATCAGAAATTATTGCGAGGTTTTAATCATTGCGAATAATGCGACTGGGTGAGGACCGCAATAATAAGAACAATCAGATAGATATATCTTTGTGCAGATTTTCCTGAAATCACAATAATTACTCTTGCATTTTTGTCCATTCTTCAAAAATCGCAATAATAAAAGCACACATTAATTTCTGAATTTACGGTAGATCATATTTAATCAAAAATTTGTTATATATTTATTGATATGGTCACCTTGTTTTAAATAAAATAAAAAAGATAAAGATATCTCCTTTAAAATTTACATTCAAAATATTTTCTATCTAACAAAAAATGTTTATTGAATTTGGTGTGTCAGAATTCCTTTATACAATGCCAAATTTCGTTTGTTTTATGAGCTAGTAGAATTGAAGCGAATTATTAATTTGAAATAAAAAAAAAAGGTTTCTAATGACATTGGTTTGGTTCAACCTGTTTCCATCCATATTGTATTAATTCCTCTTAATTGCAACTTTTATTGTTTATTGCTTTACAGTTTTGCTTTAAGCACTAGAGTTACCTTTGAATTATAAATACACCAATTTTGAGTTATGGGCTTGACAATGACTGACCTTAATTTTGAGCTATTTGACAAAATGATGTTGGCTAATCAAGTACTTTTTTTGCCATCAAATGTTTTCTGATGTGACACACACTTAAACTAATGTAAAATTATTTAATTTACTTTGATAGGTTATAGTATTAGATACAGATGTGACATTTGCTACAGATATAGCTGAGCTGTGGAAAATATTCAGCATTTTAAAAGGGAAAAAGGTGAATATTATTAATTATCGTACTTCCCTGTGTCTATATTACCCTAATCAGTTAATTCCCATATCATGGCTTTATGAGGTTTGAGCAGAACTTATCAACAAAATAACAATGTGTAAAGAGAAGTTATCAGCAATGCCACAATGTGAGAGCAGACCTCAACAAGCTTACTTCCACGAGGACATCAAAGTGTCACAAAAATGGCTTAAGGAGGAAAAAATAACCAGAATTAGTAAGATTATCAGATTTTCTTTGTATATATATTGTAAAACATTAGTCACGCTACACAATGTGACTCGTCTACTCACCAAAAAGGTTCACAATGTACCTCTTGACTGATATTTTACGATATCAATGGAGGGAAAAACCCACTGATCTATATCTATTGTTTGATTGATTGATTGATTTTTGGTGTGTTAACGCCACTTTTAAGCACCGCTTTTGCGCTATTTCGTGGCGGCCAGTTTTTATTGGTGGAGGAAGCCGGAGTGCCCGGAGAAAACCACTGACCTTCGATAGAAAAAATGACAATCCTAGTCAATTAAGATTGGAGTCGAGTGCACCCGAACGAGCGGGGTTCGAACCCACAACCTCAGTGTTGACTGGCTAGTGATTAAAGTAGTAACTACTTAGACCACTCGGCCACCGAGGCCTCTACCTATTGTTTGAGAACATGTAAATGTTTTTTTTTCAGCAGATTAGAATAATACCTTACTGTTATATAATGTAAATTAAAGAAAGATAATTGAATAGAATTAATGGAATGAATGAAAATGTACCAGGTTATCTGTATGATTAAATCAACAGAATGACCAAGTATTAAAGGAAAGAATGCAGTGTTACATGTAAAGGTAAAACATGATGGTCCTAAAACATTTATTAAAAATGGGAACAGACAAGAAAGTGTTTTAGAAACAATGAAAATAGTGCACAAAATAGAACAGAGAAAACAGAAAACTGAGTAATGCAAAACAACTAATAGGAATCTTGGATGATTTTTAGGCCCCACCTAGGGGCATTATGTTTTTTGGTCTGTGTGTCCGTTCGTCCGTCACTCCATCCGTTCGTCCGTCCGTTCGTCCGTCTGTCCCGCTTCAGGTTAAAGTTTTTGGTCAAGTTAGTTTTTGATGAAGTTGAAGTCCAATCAACTTGAAACTTAGTACACATGTTCCCTATGACATGATCTTTCTAATTTTAATGCTAGATTAGAGTTTTGACCCCAATTTCACGGTCCATTGAACATAGAAAATGATAGTGCGAGGGGGGCATCCGTGTACTATAGACACATTCTTGTTTAGGGCTAGCTGTTACCTTATACATATATAGAAAAGATTATATGTTATTGTGACTATGCAAAAGCAGGTTGACCAGTAACTATGTTTGAGAGAGTGAAGTTTTAGAATTATAGTGATAAAAAATCATGTCGTGAATAAAACAAGAAAAAAGAGAAACATTAATAAGTAGCTGACTGTTTCGTTTGTAAAAATCTTTTCATTTTACACTTCAGATAATCTGTGATTATACTTTTTTTGTTAGATTGGTATCAAGCTTTGCATTAGTAATTTCGATGATTATTTCAGACTATAGGACTGGTAGGGAACCAAAGTGACTGGTACCTTGGTAAACTTTGGAAGAATCACAGACCATGGCGAGCTCTGATGTGTGTTTTAAAAGATTCCTATTATTATTTTTCTCTTGAGAAAGGATTTTATTCCATGTAAATATACTTTAATGTATATTATCATGATCATAATTGTACGTGTTATATAGAAAGAAAAATCACATGTTTAAAGATTATATTAAAATGAACTTCTGAAAGGAAGATATTTTGCAAAGACAAATGGTCATCATGTAAGAATAATAACCTACTGTTCAAATGAAGAAAATCATAAAAGTGAATATTCATCTATATCATGAACTACAAATTATAAAGAATAATAAATGTCTCTATTTTTGATGAAAATTCTACTACTTATCTGAACAATAAACCTAATAAGTTTGAGGAGGATAGAAAAATGATTTGCCCTAAAGGCTGAATTTAAGACCTCATTATGCTAACAAATCATATAGATAGAATGTTAATTCAAATAGACAAAATCATTAAGTCTACATGCATCATGAAACATGTTTTGCTCATTAATATTGTTTTCCTTCATAACAGGAATGTTTGTGGTCTTTACTATTTAGTCCAAGCTTTCCTTTCAAAAGATTTTATTTTTATTCTAATTTTGTTCAGCAGACAAACATGCCCCATTTGTACATACATTTTTAGTTAATAGATGTGTTGATGGTTCATGTCACTTATATGCAACTTTTGGGACTGATTATATACTGGATTAGACTGGTTCTAATTAAAAGTGTTTCCTTTCATGGTTAAGAAGATAGCCATTCAAGTTACTCGATACCAGAATCAGGTTTGATAAATTTCACGTATCGAATCTGATATGAACGCATGATACTTTTTATTCCCTCAAAGTAATTTTATTTTTCTATATATTTCTTTTTATTTTTGTAAAGATACATGACTGTACATTGATATGCTTCAGGGTAGAGGTTTCAATACTGGAGTTATCTTACTTGACTTACAGAAGTTACGTGATATGGGATGGATGGAATTATGGACTAAAGTAGCCCAGGAAGAATTACAGACCATGGTATATACTTCATTAGCAGATCAGGTAAAATAGAATAAGTTATGTGGCTTATTTCAACATGCTTAGCTTAGTAGATGGTGGTAAAACATGAAATTGGTCTTTCATCTGCAACAAATCAAATGGGTTTTGATAAAATGATAATCACTATTTTATGAGAAATCTATACTGATTGCTGTGAGTGTAAAATTTTTGTAACTCTACTTGTTCTATGTGTGGACAATTTGGTCATTTAAAGAAATGAAATATACAGAATAATAAAAAAAAAGCCTTTATAGGTGATTTACTGATATCTTGACATATACAGTTCGGTTTTCGAATACCGATTTAGTTGGACTGCTTTTGCTTTAAATATTTTGATCACATATGTTTTAATGGAAGGGGTCAGTATAATATTTTTCGTCTGTGTGTCTGTATACAGGTTAAAGTTTTGGTTCAAGGTAGTTTACCATGATACTTGAAACAAAGTACACTTGTTCATTATATGCCAAATTAGGGCTTTGATCCACATTTTGCAGTTTAATGTACATTGAAAGAAAAATTATAAAAAGTGTGTGGGCATAATGTCCTATTGACACATAAATTCATAACAAATGGACATAGATAACTTTTACAGAAAATGTACATCAGAAAGTTGGAATAAGATTTGTGAGATTGCTGACAGTTGATCACAAAACAAATTTAAACAAACACTACCTCATAGTATGTTTTTCTTGAGTGTTGCTGGAATGATATACTGTAAAAAGTGCAGAATAATATAACATATGAAGATACAATTTATGTGAGATCTGACACTTTAGTCAATAAATTTACAGTTTATGAAAACTTAAAATTTTTTTTTTTAATTAAATGAACTCTATTTGACCTTTGTCCTGGCGATTGAGGCAGATGACAAGAATGAGTCCTCTAAATTTGATTTTTTGTTCTGAAGCAAGTTAAAACTGTCTTAAATGAAACATTTTGTTACTTTCAGGATATATTTAATACAGTATTAAAACTTCATCCCTATCTGTTGTATCAGTTACCCTGTCAGTGGAATGTACAACTAAGTGATAACACTCGTAGTGAACAATGTTACAGTGAAATCTCTGATCTCAAGGTAAGGCACAATTAATTGATAACACTTGAAATTAATGCTTCAGTAAATATGAATGAAAAACAATTACATTAGAACTGTTATATCTTGTTTCTGAACTTTTCATCGATATAAAAAATTATAAAAAAACTACATTACATTAGTTTGCTATAAAAAACACTTTTCTTAAGAATAAACAAGAAATTACTATTTATGTGTTGATAAAACAACAGATTGAAATTCTGCAAGAATAGTTAAAATTACTCTTGTTTTCTTTTAGATAATCCACTGGAATTCACCAAAGAAATTAAAAGTAAAAATTAAGCATTTAGAATTTTTCCACAATTTGTATCTGACATTCCTGGAGTATGATGCCAATCTGTTGAGACGTGAATTGTTTGGATGTGATAACAGTCAAGAAAACCCTATTGACCAGCAGGTATATTTGATAAATTGATGGATGAAGTTTCTGATGATTAGCATTTTTATAGAAAGGGATTAATCAAGTAAAACTTAATGTATTGGGGAATGAAATCAAAAATGCCTTCTGACACCACCACAAAATTATTTATTTTAGTGAACAATTTTAAATGATTAATGTCATATATACGATCTGCTTTATATTATTTTGATGTATTACATTTAAACATTTATTATTTTACAGTTGAGTGCTTTGAATGAAGATGATGAATGTTATGATTTTCGAAGAGAACGTATCCTTGTACACCGTACACACTTGTATTACCTGGACTATGATTACCAACCAACAGAATGGGATGTGACATTAGTGGCACAACTAAGTATGGATAGACTTCAGATGCTAGAAACAATCTGTAGACATTGGGAAGGCCCTATCAGTTTAGCTCTTCACATGTCTGACGCAGAGGCTCAACAATTCTTACGATATGCTCAGGAATCAGAAGTATTGATGCAGAGGAAAAATATAGGATATCATGTAGTTTATAGAGATGGGGTAAGATAATATGATGCCCCCCTCAACTTGTGACCTTTGACCAACAGTAATCAGTTGGCCTGTCTGTTATCAATCAACACTTTACATGTCCCACACCAACTCAAATTTGCTTTATACCGTCAAGCGGTGTGTATAGTGTGCACATTTATACCCTGGGTCGTGTTTCGTGTAAGAGGGGTGCGCATTATACATGCCTATAAGCATTTTCTTAGTCTTTTTTCAGGTCTGAACTCCGACAAAAAAAAAACCAGGTGAAGTGAAGAGTACGGAATTTTTCGCTAAAACCTCGATTTTTATTATGTTTTACATGTTATATTTGTAATATGTATCTTATTGTACTTGATATGTCATGTTTTATTCAAATAAAATACATTTTATATCTCTGTAGTTACTTTTATCGTGTAAATTTGTCCATCTGTTTGCAATCCGGAAGTTTGCCATGTTTTAATAAAGACACAATGAAGCTTTTGTTGTCGGTTAATTTAGCCTCTGTGTTTCTTGTGGTCATAACTTACTGTTTTTGTATGTGTGTATCTTGGAGAGTAGAAGAAAAGTGTATGAAAATTTAATAAACCACGCTCGTTTTGAAAAGAAAACTGCCATTTTTTTCTATTGTATCAGGTGATCGCCAGTCATGTGACTTAACATTGTAACGTGATGATTTAGTCTGAGAAGTTTTTATTTTATAAATACGTTTCTACTTTGTAACTTTTAAACAGTAACAACTGTTTAAAACTGTTCAAGAAATTATGATTGAAAACATGATAATCCCATAATTGTAACCTGAACAAATTTAATTAGGAACAAGTTGAACCTGTCATTGATTTGTTTTGACATCGATTAGACCCATTGATTGAGGTGTGATAATCTGGATTAACAGCTAGAATCAACAAGCAAAAAATAAAAATTATTAGATTTTAACAATTTATTTCAGCACTAATTCATAACATAAAATTAAATAATACAAGATAATACACTTTCGTATTAATTACGTATTCTGTACGGAATTCACCGACATCAGTGACCATTTTAAAAACTTCCAGTTTAGACTTCCTGTTTGCCAATAAACAACAAACATTAACTTGTGGGTTATAAAAAGTAGATAACTATTAAAATTCTTTATTCAGCTACAATAAATTCTTTCCATGATATTAATCATGACTTCTCATTAATTCCTTGCCGAAAATAATCACGCTCAAGCAACATTTTACTGATTTTGGAGCTGTGACTTTTCCGAAAATGTCTATGTGTATTATACGAAGAAGAAACTTTTTTCTCAAGTTTCTTGGACCATAAATGGGATGCGCACAATACACAAATGCGCACTATAGACACCAAAAGACGGTACTATTTTTGCTTTGTAGATTTCAATAACTCTGTACACAATGTTTGTAGAGGAAAATGAAGCTCACTTTTGATTTGGACTGTTTTTAAAATGCGTTGTTTCAGACTCTTGGGACTAAATGGTAAAAAATTAGAAAATCTTTCTATTTCTTACAATAATGTAAGTTTTCAGTATTGAATTTTAAAATTTTATTAAACTACCCTCACGCCCACAAACCATATCTTGGCGGGTATAAAGGATTCTAATGCAATTTTTATGTAACCACTTTTTTCATTGGCTAAAAGTTGCCGTCAAATCCACAGTTGACCAGTCGTAACTAAGGAGGGACCCGCCATTTTGAATTGATTGAATCAACAAATGTTCGATTTCTACAATATAACCTCAAATTAAATAACACCAACCTCAAAATCGCCGTTTTAATGTGATGTCATCCAAATTTGAATCGTAGAGGTGACGTAATAACCTCCAGTTTGTAAGTTTTCATTTGTATGACGTCACGTTTTGCCATAACGTCTATGTGCAAAAATCGTTCATAAAGTTTCGCGGATTTTTTTTTTATTTCAAATTTATACATTTTTTTAAGCTCTAACGTATTATTTCTTTTTGTAATGCATTAGAATCGGAATAACAGTACTGTAGTTGAAGAGTTGCCACCGTCAATTTTGATTTGACGGTCGCAAATTGACGTTTTACTGTCTCCGCTACGCGTCGCCAGTAAAACTGCATTTGCGACCGTCAAATCGCCAATTGACGATGGCAACTCTTCAACTACAGACTGTTATTCCTTAAATATCTAGTAAGTTCAACTCCTCCAAACAGGCTTGATGTGATGAAACCGTACACAGATGTAAAATGCTACCTTGGGAGGAATAAATCCTTGTCTTACATGTTGAAGGGGAGATAATCAGATTTAAATTGGTTTCTAGAGTTCTCCACTCTTTCCAATGTGTGTTTAATAGTTCTTATGTTATTTTGATATTTTATGTATATTTCAGCAATATTATCCAGTCAACTATTTACGTAATGTAGCTTTAAAACAAGTCAATACGCCATATGTGTTCCTGTCTGATGTAGATTTCCTACCCATGCATGGATTATATGAATATTTAAAGAAGGCTTTACCATTGATGGATATGGAAAACAGTAAAAAGTTAGTACCAGTTTGTAAACTACATTAAAAATAAATCATTATCAATGGCCTTCAAGTTATGAACTATCTGCACTATGAATTTCAAATTTTTAAGAATGTATTATCAGTTTTTTAGATTTTTATATTATTCATAAATGTTCAAGCATTTTATGGTCTTTTCAGCTTTGATTATTCCAGATTTTATGTACTTTACAGCATTTTAATGTTTTAGAAGTGTATGTTCTTTACAGGCCTTTGATAATTGTTCAGGCATTTAATGTTCTTTACATGCTTTTATTTTTTTAGCATTTTATATTCTTTACAGTCTTTTATTGTTCCTTCCCAGGCATTGATTGATCAAGTATTTCATGTTCTTTACATGCATTAATTATTCAAGCATTTGGTGTTCTTTACATGCATTTATTGTTCAAGCATTTCATTTTCTTTACAGGCATTAACTGTTCAAGCATTTGGTGTTCTTTGCAGGCATTAATTGTTCAAGCATTTGATGTTCTTTACATGCATTAATTGTTCAAGCATTTTGGTGTTCTTTACATGCATTAATTGTTCAAGCAGTTGGTGGTCTTAACAGGCAATAATTGTTCAAGCATTTGGTATTCTTTATATGCATTAAGTGTTCAAGCATTTGATTTTCTTTACAGGCATTAATTGTTCCAGCATTTGAAACACAAAGGTACAGAATAGACTTTCCTAAATCTAAGGCAGAATTACTGTCACAGCTGGACATGGGTGATCTCTTCACATTTAGGTAGGTGCACATAAACAACAGCTAACAGAGAATACATATTATACTCCTGCTTAAAGATACCTGGGGTAATTGTTTTTTGTTTATTATATTGTATATTTTTCTTGAGCATTAATTGATGTTTTTTTACAGGCATTAATTGTTCCAGCTTTTGAAACACAAATGTACAGAATAGGCTTTCCCAAATTCAAGGCAGAATTATGAAATGTCAAAGATCAACTTAACAACTTGACTGAATGATAAAGTCCACTCTTGCATCAAATCTTTTCAATGGCAGAACTGATACTTATTTGTTAGTCATAGGTCCAAGGTCAATTGGTTGACTATGTATAGGACCACAAAACTGTAATAATTTGAACATATCTTATTAAATAAAATACTTTAACATCAATCATCATATTGACTCTGATAAATTTCAATATTAGACTAAATCTCAGAATTATATATGAGTCTATATGGATAATGCCATGCAATTATTTAGATATTTAGAACTTTTGCAGGATGAATATTGCACAATTTGAAACTTGATTACTTCACATTTCCATTTTCTCTTTTTATTTTATTTACATTATTTTTTTTATAGATTTCATGTTTGGCCAAAAGGACATGCACAGACTAATTATGCCAAATGGAGGATTTCTACACAGCCTTACAAGGTAATTGTTCAATCTGGAAATAATTTTCGATATAACATCAGTCTATTAGTA